AATTTTTCTGTCATTATTGCCGTCATTACTTTGTATATCATGTCGTTGAGTTAACTAAAATAGCAGCAGCAATAATATTCCCCTTTTAAAATACCGTTCACGTCGCCGGTCATTTAATTACTAAATTAACAAGTAACTCCACAAACATTTATAAACGCGAGGCAGAATATGCGGAGCGTGAATTTTCTAAAGAAACATGCTCGTGAAATTATTTTTAGACGATGACGGACAATCCTAGATTTTGCTAACCCTAATGTCTTAGAACAGTTGTACGTACGGCGTGGATTGATTAAGTGTCTCGAAATAAAAACATTTTCGTCAGCGTAAAAATGCAGTATGCTATGTGGTTAGTAAAACCAGTTCTTTGAAGCGCGTCCCCGTATCTCCCTCTCCTGTTAGTGCGCCGTAACCGTACGTACATGCGTGCATATGTTTGCTTAAGGCACTTATTTCATCTGCACCACATCGAAATACAGTACGTAGAATTCAATGAACGAAAGGTCGTTTTCTACCGCTGCGTTATTAGTATAGATACGTGCAACCTTAGAATTATGACAAATTAATTGAATAAAATGGCAACCAAGACGGCCTGACATAATATCACGGTTCATTTAAATCATTTGTAGACGCCATTCCTCGACAAGAAAATTGTTCCGCCAACTATCACATATTTATGACGTGTAAATGTGCTAAGGGCATTAAGTGAGATCCAGTTCCACTGGTTCGACTGTGTCTACCCTTCCGGCGTGGGGGATTCGTACGTTGGGAATCACGTTGGTAGCCATCTATCAATCGGGACACAGAAACGTGCCTTTCCTCGCGGCGCTCCGCACATCCTTATTTATGGCGGAGTGATCGGCCCATAATTACAGACTCCATGACGAAAACGACCTTCTGCTTATCTAAACAGGGGCTGCGGCGCCCACTCGCACGCATGCAGGCCCCGATATTTCGGAAATAAACTGCACAACTGTTCATTTCACGCATCAATTGCATGTTTATTCGCGTTTGCTGCTCGACGGATGATAGATACTTATCTCGGGCTTGTTACTTATCCCGAAGATGACCCACATGCCTATGGCTGCTTATGGCTGCTCTTGCCGGCAGCAAGGACGTATTTTAGATCATTTTTACAATTTTCAAAATGGTGCCACAACGTGTGAAAAAGAAAGCGAAAACCTCTTCTAGATTTATATAAAAACATTTCTCAAGTTTTATTAAAGAGTATCTTCCGACATTTGGTAGATAGTTAAAATGATTTAAAGCGACGAAAAATGTGAAGCAAGTTGGCAAACGGCGAGCGTGACAGGGATAAAACTTTTACAATAAAATAATCAAAATCAGAGACCGCGGTGCTTTTTGCTATTGATACGACGCACGTAAAGAAAGCGCATAATCTTTTCTCTCTCGTGACTATTTTACGTCAGCTTCGTTTATGGAAGAATAATCACAGCGTGTTATTATACTTTCTATAAAGTAAATCTGCCTTCCGCTTGCCTAATCACACATTTTTTTCCTGCTTTTTAAAATATCCTTCCTTTCTTTCTCATTTTCTCTAAATTACCTACGCCAACCGTTCACAAATAATTGCTATTATTTGTACAATCCTTTTAAATTTAACAATCATACCAGCGCACCAAGTAAATAATTTTTGTGAAATTATGAATAACATCGTACGATGTTTCGATGTCACTTGAACACTTATGTTTAAACTTAAACTTATATTTAATTAGAAATGCGTGTTTATTAAAATATTCTTATCGCAGAGACAATATACGATTAAGATTTTGTTGCTTGTTTATGTATTATTAAATAATGCAACAAATATGTTAAATGATAATATATTTATATATTTTAATGAAAAATGTATTTTCCCTCGCATAGAGCAAAGAAGTAAAATCATAGAGTGATGTACTACTTCGAGTAGCCAGATTCTTTTATTCATTCTTTTGGCTATTAATAAATAGTTTATTTTTTCAAATCTAATGTTCAAACGTTTATGCATCAGAAGAAGCAGCGGGTTCAAAAGCGTCGGAACGGCTGGATGAAGTCTAAACGGAATGTCATCTGTTGGTGAGCATTCATCTCGACGAATCAATTATTTTCCTCTTAATGTGGACGTAAACTATTTGTTTTCACTTTTAACTGGCCTATTATTTTGCACGCAACTTTGATTTCCGTGTGCTTATTCAAATAAGTTTCGTAAATCTTTCATAATTTCAAGTACAAATTTGTATCAACAATCATTAATCTGTTTCACGTTTGAGATCAATTTAACAGTTTCTTTTACAAAAGGCGCCCTTGAAATTTATTTCAAACGGGACGCAATTGAAAGGGTTTCATCGGTAAATAAATGCCAAGAGTTCAGACAAAGATTTCGCATTGAAGATATTAGAAGACAGGTCAATAGTCCTTGATAACTATTTCAAGCTTCTCAGAACCACGGCATTCCATGCATTCGCGCAAGATTTATGATTTTACTTCGCCGCTACTCTTTGCTACGCAGTAATTATTCTCACGTTAGTAGAATTTATAATGGTATTCCTCACTATAGACTAATGCTATTTACCCAATGTTTTTTGGACTTATAGAAAATGTATCTCTCATTTGCTTGACATGTAAATTTATTTATTATTTTCTTTAATTATCAGCGTTATCGTCGCAATTAATTATGTTTATCACCAGCAATCTCGAATTTTTACGTCACTATCGAATATTGCTTTGCAGTTTAATTCCAATTTCACTAAGACCGTTCAGATCCATATCATGCTAATATATACCTAGAGGAAAGTCCCCTATTACGAGATAGGATTCCAATACGAGATAGCGGGGTTTCTGTTAAATTAACGGACATCATCAGTTGAGTCTCCCATGAATTTATTGCCCTCGGTGCGACATTTGTTTAGTGGAAGATTCATTGTTGGATTGCGCAATCGTTGCGAAAAAAGGCTTGTGATGAAATTTAGGTGTTGAAAACCTGCTATCACATATTAGAAACCTATCCCGTAACAGATAGGGTACTTTTCGCTACGTGTACGAGGCTCTGGTTTTACAATATGATATTGCTACAATCGGTACGAGGCGGCGAGTCTGCTCGTACCTTTCGCTTCACGCGAGCCGAAGCGTACGCGAAATAATCGCGGCGGAGACGTAAGCCGAAGTAAAAGGATGCTACATTAACCAGGCGGGCATGATGCGAACGATTGGGAGAGGAAGCCGAAACTTGTACAAGAAAGATCTGAGCCGCGTATCCCGTTTGGGGGCCGAGCCGAACGATCTGAGGCCCTCGTTCGAGCTAACCCGAGAGAACTAGAAGGAGAAGGCAACCCCCCGCGCCTTACAATGCAGCCTGATTTATGGCCCGGGCGCACATACATAGAGTTACACACGATATCATAATACCATTAATTCTTCGTCAAATTCCCCGCTGACTGAATCATACTGGCCGCGCAGTAAATCACGCGGGGCGACTAATGTGAGCGCGACCAGCGCGCTGGGCTGTTTTATCTTCTTTGAACCACGGGGGCAGGTGAATCTCTAGTCTTGGTCCCCGCTGAATTACTGTTATCCGGCTCTGACCGCACCCCCGCACTTGCTTTTCGTTCGTATCTCGAACCGCGAGGCACGAGATCATTTCCGCGTATACACTCGATCTTAGATAGAGAGCACGAAGTTGCCGACGTTTTGTGCCGGCGGTTTTCACGCGTTTGTTCCGTTTGTATCCTAATCGCTATTCACCTGCTCAATACGTTATTCACTGTCTCCGCTTCATCGTCTCGTCCCTTATTTGTTTTCTCTCGCGGCAAGAATAGCGATACAGTGACATTTCACACTTGACGAATGCTAGCTCGTATCATCTCGTTATTCGTATGGTATTTAACAATTGTACTCGACAAATATCTTCTATATCTCGTATATAAATTAAAATCAGAAAACTGTTTTACGAAGTGCGTCAAATTTTTTAATAGATAATAACGTTTTCTCATTTATTTCGCGACGACGGTAACTTCAGTTTTAAAATACGCGAGTAATTTTATAGAGATCTCTTTCAATTATTCTTAATAATTATGCTCTCGCATTTTAATAGCTTGCCCGCTTATTTCTTGCAATATCCGTGTTGATAAAATCCGTACTTTTCGTTGAAGATATTTGTAATTGTATGACACGATATAAAATATATTTATATATACTGCTTAATATTCTTTTGAGCAATACGTAATATGCGTTTTGACATTGTACTTAATTAATTGTCTCAAATGCTACTCCGTTGTCTAAAATATATGACTCCTTGCAACGATCATCCGCCTTTAAACTGAATGCCGAATATTTGTAGAATCTACTAACCGTAAGCTATTCCCAAGTCAATGATTTTCCTAATCTTCTAGCATAAAAATCGCGGAAAGCAGCATTATGCAAATTAACACATCGTTGCGCTTAAAATACGATGAAAAATAAATAAATGTCTACAAATAAGTAGATATTTGCGTTTTAAATTGTGATATTTCGGTGAATGTCGAAACTCGTATAGTCCTGTGTTTACCGTTAAAACACAAAACGTAACATTTGAGCGGAGAGATGGCTATCGTCAAAATTAAATAGATTTATAACGTGAAATCGTATATTTTAGCTGTAATTTAGTATCTGTGCGTTTTTAATAGATGGGTGGCATTTTGAAAGTTAAAATGAAGAAATATACGCGTCCACATACATTAACATGTTAAGCAAAACATTAAATCGTTAAATTAAAGCAAAGAATAAAATAAAATACATAGAATTTGTAATCCTATGGAGTTGCAACCCTCTAGCGATAAAATAAATAAAATACTTAAATTGCTTATCAAACAATGCTAACACTGTTGATTTTCTCATTTACCGTTTTAATAAGATTAAGAGCAAGTTCCTTCTCATTGAGAAATGAGAAAAGAAACGGAAGACGCGTCTCGAGAAGCACCATTTCTAATACGACAAGATGAAAAAGATACGGTAAACTAGTGACTTACTCTGACCAATGTGAACTCTTTTCATCCATGGATATATTTGAGGCGGGTTAGTGCCGGAAGAATTCCCCTTGTTGGACGAATTGTTACCCGTGCTAGAGGTGCTGGATGTGGAGGAAGCGGGCGACGAAGCGGAAGATGCTGTTGTCAGCGTTGAATTTCCCTCGCCGACGCCCCTCGAGCTACCGCTGGGCGGCGAGGCAGCGGACGCAGCCACGGACGACCTTGACGAGCTACCAGGCGGTGAAGTCAATCCGGACGCGGCTTTACTCGTGCCGGGTGCCACTAAGGGCGTCGGGCTATTTCTCGAAGTGGACGTGGTTAAATCTTGAGGGGACGCCACACTGGTGGACGAGGTCGAATCAGCATATTTGCAGCTGGACGTTGACGGCGCCGACGTTGCCGAGGCGCTCTGCATAAGAGGCGTCGTTGGGTCCGAGTGAAGTTGTTGCTGAGGATGATGCGGTTGCTGATGGTGCGACTGTTGTGCGTGCATACCGTGCTGCTGCGACGTTGCGGTCGCGCTCAGCCGAGGCTGCGGCTGCAGTTGAGTATAGTCTATCATCCCTGTCGGCGCTGGATGCTGCATACCCGACGCCGGCGTGGCGTAAGGATGCTGAGGATAATGCTGCTGAGGCGAGTAGCAGGGCGCGGGATAGCTGGTGGACGCCGCATTCGGATTGTAATACTCGCCACCGGCCGGCGATGCTGCCTGCATCGGTTCTCCAGGCGAGTTCGCGGTTGGTCTCGGCTGTTGCTGTGGCTGTTGGCCCGCGTAGCATGATGCGAGCGAGTTGACGAACTGATAGGAACTCATTCTTCACGTACCTTCACGTGCCGTCAACGTCACTATACCGACAATTTTGCACGTCTACGTTCCGTCATTAACGAAGACACTGACGTTGTGTTGGTTGGGTTGAGGCGCGGCTGAAGAACGCGCGCTGTCATTAAGTATAGAAACCCGTCATCGTGCGACGAGGCGAAAATCGCGCAGTGACGAAAATCGCGCGGCACACGTGGCCAGCTGCTCCGACAAGCTTCACCTTGTTCGTCGAACGATTCACAGCTATCACGACCTGTTACACGCGAGAGAAACACGTCCCTAAGCGATGCGATAATGAACGAGGGGTTCAGGACTAATAGAGAGAGAGAGAAAGAGAAAGAGAGAGAGAGAGAGAAAGATAGAGAGAGGGAGGGAGAGAGAGAGAGAGGCAGACGTCTGGCGGCAGGCGGGTCGAGCCTGAATTCGAACCGACCTGCGAGTCAAGTTTATGAGGGCCACGTGGGCCTGGGCTATAAAACTGTCTTCTGCTTCTTTACGATCTCAGGAGTCGCGATTACCTACAGAGAACTCGTGGGCCCACCGTGCAGTAGCGCGTAACGAACAGCTTATCGAGGCGCCCCATTGAAGATGACCTTGCAAAGTCTCTCCTCAATGAAGTAACGTGCGAGGTAACACATATGTGCGCGCATAAAAATAATTCACGCGATGATTAATTGCGCTTGAACGTTGTCACAGGTGTGTGTTGCACTTAACAAACGGCTTTATATCGCGGCAACGGCAACGGCAACGGCAACGGCAACAGAAGCAGAGGCTCGAGCACGGCAAAGGGTGAAGAGTGTACCCGCGCGCGAGTTGGCCGTTCCTGTTGCGTGCGCGAAGGGTGGTTGGTATCGTACTGAAGGCCTCGCCGCGATCCAACGGAAGGCCGGTGTGTGCGGTAGCTTGTCACGTGCCCGCGCTCTCTGCGTGTCAGAGGAGCGCCTCGACCAATCCCTGCCGTTCGTCAAACCTTGATTGGTCTCTCCGTCGGCGTGTACGATTCTTCAACCCCGTTCCTTGCGTCTCCGTCGAGTCTCCGCTGCCGCTGGCGCTCGTCGTGTGGTAGTGTTGCCCGGCTGCTACCCGACGTGACAGGAACCGATGAGAGGGGTGTGCGTAAGAGAGAGAAAGAGGGCGAGAGAGGGGTCAAGGAGAGGGGATAGCACCGTCAGGGGGGCTAATGGAGAGATATTCGGGAGCCCTGAAACCGCTGGTGGGGGAGAAGTATCTCGATCGCTCTCTCGTTCTCCTCTGCAGCCTTCTAGCCGCGACGTCACCAAGAAGCAGTCTTCCGTCCGCTTTGCGAGGGGGGCTACGCGCGCACGCGCCCCCTACTGTATAGCCTCGCGCTCAAGACGGATGAAAAAGAAAAGGGGTGGTACGCGGCACACGAAGGCGCGATTGTTCCTTACTGATCGACCGAAAACGATTCGCCCATTAATATCGCCGTATCTTCGCCGATTTCACCCGTCGCGAATCCATTTTAGCTCGATCATACGTATGGTATCTCTTCCTGATCGGGAGACGGAAGACGAGTACGTTTCACAAGTGCGGATCGCTGTACTTGCATATTGTCGCGCGGGACCGTGAGTAGTGGAAGGTCCACTTTTCCGACCGCTTCTTCCCCCTAGACCGCGGAGATCGCACGTCCGCTCTTTCGTTAACAAGTTTGCGATGCGGGATCGCGCTTGTCGTGCGCGAGGTGCAGATTCGACCCGAAAGCGTGTGGTTCTCCAACCGCGGCTAAGGAAGGGGCGCGCATAAGTCAGCCCGGTGGCCGCGGCTGACAGTTTTATGAGAGTTTGATAGTCTTCGCCGCTCGCTCTTTTCACAACGAAAGGACAGGAGAGAAAGGGCGGCCTAGAGCAGGAAAGAAATGCGTAAAGGGAAGGAAAAGAGAGAAACAGAGATACAGAGAGAGAGAGAGACACGCGCACTACGCACCACACTCTTTATTGTCCCATAAATTCAAACCTGTTGCCTGTAGCCGAGAAAGACAAGGAGGGAAGAGCGTGCACGAGGTAGAATCCTCTCCCAATCGCGATTCGATTGACGCCCCCGTTATCGCTCGTACGGCGAACCCGGACGCAACTCGTAACTCACTGAGCCGGCCTGAGAGGAGAGCCTTCGGAGTTGGCGGCTCTAAGCAGAAGCATGTGTGACGTAGTAGCCAGTTGGTCAAACGGGGGGCACTCCGGGGTAGCATCGGGGCGGAGGGGACGGTTGAGGAGGCGGAGCTCTCTTTGCTCGTCGCAGATAAGAGCTTTAAACGAGTTTCTTACGAGTTTTATGCAAAATTCTTTTGACATTTTAAACAGTACGCCCCTGTGTACTCTTCTCTCGCATGCGATTTGTTTATAGAGTTTGTTATTTACTCCCGATATTTCATTTCTTAAAGAGTTCAAAACTTTTATTCCTTTATCCATTACCGAAGTCTCACCGTAACAATCATAATAATATTAAGTCTCGTCAAAACAATAAATTTTCAGCTATTTCGCGCACAATAAAATTATGAAAGCTACAAATTAAAATTTTTTTTCCATAATTTTCTCCGTCTCCTTTTATTCGCGTTATGTTACTGTCGTATAGATCGCTATTTAATTCGCGGCATCGGCCGCTATTTAATCCGAAAGGAAGAATAGAATTTTGAATATAGGCCGATAGTGTGGCAGTTGCTCGCCAGATGTGGCGAGTGCGGCTGTTCTCGTTGAATTGTGGCGCGCGCCCGCCCCCGGCCGTCCTACCCTTTCCTCTTCTTCTCCCCACCACTTAATCGTCTACCCCACTGCTCAGCCGAAACTGGCTATCTCTTCTACTTGGAGTCGTCGCATCTGTGTACGTATACGGCCGTATCCCCACTATTTCCATAGCAGTCGCCACTTCAGAATCGGCTGTTTGTCCTACACCGACTATCACTTCAGGCCTTTTATTTCGCGCGGCTGATGAATCGTGATCCAAAGATCTGTTAAACGATGGACCGAAATTCCATTTAATCACTCAATAAGCAACGCCCAACTATCTCTCCATTAATGCTGCCGCTTGAAAATATTTACTTACGAAACATTAAAAACCTATTTCAATAACTAATACATTCTTTTTTTACAAAATTTAAAGAGAAAGAGAGAGGGGAGAGAAAAATAAACAAGGATCACTACTCCTAGTAGCACAACATATTGGCGCAATATTGGGAAATAATGTAAATCCAGTATTTCCAATATTGGTCCAATATTGCAAGATGGACGCCTTCTCTTATTTAGCCAATGTGTCTATTTAGCAATATTGGTTTAAAAAGTCTAAGTAGACGCGTAGACATCTTTATACTATTATTGCGACAAATATTATCATATGCCTCGGTGGTCGAATTGGTGAAACGCCCGCCTAGAGTGTAGGGAGGCCCAGGTTCAAACCCTGGCTGAGGTAAAATTTTTCGCAATAAATTTTCTGTATTATTAAAAATGCCAGGTGTGGTCAAGAAAACACTGACGTTGTTCATTATCGCTGGCGACATTGAAGAATTCTTATTAGTTGAATATTGGTTATTTTATTGTTAAATATTGGCCAATGCACTTCCAATATAAATCTAATATTATATAATTATTGTCGTGCAAATATTTATTCCATGACTTTACGTTGGATATCGGCCAATGCATTTCTAATATAACCAACATTGGACCAATATTTAGACTATGTTTAGCCAATGCACTGTGCTACTAGGGTACACGTACAACTCCAGATAAATAAGTGGGAAGATATGATTATTGTGAAGTTTATTGACCTAATATTAAATTGTGATTTTTAGCAATTTTGCGTATTTTTTTATTAATGCAGATATTATTTATGATCACTTTACGACGTTTACTATTAAAATATAAAGAAGGGGACGTGAGTTGTAAAGATAACATAAAATTATACAATAAAACTTTTATTCAGTCTTTTTGTTATATTTAATCGTCAAAATTATCTCATTCTTCGCGCGCGCGCGCGTGTCAGCGGGTCAATGTGTTTCGATTTAACGCAATTGATGCGTGATAATGGCGAGGTTCTACGGCAAGAAATAAGGCCCGGCCGGCCTATTTTAGTCGATCCAAGGTGCATTGCCTTAAGGTCTCGTGTCACTCTTCACGGTGGACCCTCTCCATTAGAATTTCCAATAAAGCTGTCGCAGGTGTAAAAAACGTATCAAGACCCCCATGAATCATATGTCGCAAAGCGGAGCCGCCAAGACACGTGTATCTGTTATGCTTTCTCTCGGTAATTCGCGGGATGGTTTATGCACCCGTCCGTCCGCGTTTTCTCTGTCTCTCTTTCTGCACTGCTATAATCTACCCCGCACCATCATCCGTCCAGTGTCGACGGTTCGATGACTTCGCCAAAGCAATTATTATCATTGAAATTAGGTTTCAATCGTATACATGAAGAATGATTCGAGTCATCTGTAAATGTTCAACCGTCGGGCAATTGCGAGTCGATTGTATGACGTCATAAATAAATAGCAAATCGAATAGTACGAATTCTAATAGCGATTCTAATAGCTGAGCGATATGATCACCGCGTTACTTTATGTACGCGATATCAACGTGACGGATTTATCGGGACTTTGGTGGGGAAGACCTTCCCCGTCAGAGAGCCCTACAATTATAGAATTGTCGTCATTCATTCGACAATTACGAACTTAACGGATCGCATCAAATTAATTGTAACTATTAAGTTTGAGATCGGATTTCGCCAAGTAACCGGTTTACGAGTAGTTTTGAGTCAATACGCGCTGTGAATTGACAATTCAATTTATAGCTCTCTAATATAGAGGTGTATATTTTTGTAAATTGTAGCAAATAACATATAATTTTTGTCATCAGTAAAAGTCAGTAAA